CGGTTCTGCGTCCATGGGTATGCCATCTGAAAGAAAATAAGGAAAATTGGGGCAAAGAGTTAAAACAACTGGAAGAGGAGAAGAAGAAGAATGTGGCCGAATCCAAAAAATCTGTGGAATGCGGAGACGGCGCCAACGACGAGGCAGCAGAAGAGGCGGATGACTCCAACCTGAACACCGCAGATCGCATGTCAGATCACCTTGACAGCATTGACTTTATCGATTGTGAGGGGGAGGATGAGAGTGATTCGGCCTCTTGACCCTCCCCTGTACCACAAACTAGTGGATACGTAGAAATCATGCAGTGACAAGAGATAATAGATCCAGCCTCTCGCCTCCTCTACGACCGCTCCAAAAAGCCTTCCTTTGAGGAAGTGTTAGGGTTTACATGAAAAAGGGGAAATCCTGATGCTTTTAACTTGAACGCCGTGATAAGGACGGACCGATGTTATGCGTGGCTTGTCTTTTCTGGTAAACATAAGAAGACTTAAATCTAAGTCAGTTAGAACACCTTCAACCACTTCACGCAAGGGCTGTGATTACTTGAATAAGAAGAACTACGAGGGTGGAAAGATATAACATTTAGATTTTCCATTTTCACTAAAAATTGGGACGTGGTGTACCATCGTACAATTTTTTTTCTTGGTTATTATTGTTAGGGTTTGAAAAGAAAAAAATCGCTTAAGTCAGAGAAAAGGTGATAAAAGCAATAGTCAGGAAATATCATCCAAAATTGGATGGGATTAAGTCGACTACATCCGCAAGCACATAAGTTCTTGCAGTCGTTGTAGGGCATGTGAGTTTGGAGGAAAATTAGCTTCTTGCCTTTGGAAGGCCTAAAAGTTAACAGGCATCTAACCTGGGTAGCATTCTATCAGAATCACAAATAAGTGAGCACAGCCAAGTGAATAAAATTGATGGTACCACGTATCTTCCAAAATAACTGTGGTTAGTGCACGTCAAGAAAAGGAAAAAAACGTCCAGAACACAACAACACTAGAGTTTATCAGGCAAAAGCCGGATCTTTTAAGAAACTAAGGATGAGTTTGTTAAATTTAGGTCTAATTATAAAAAAAAGCAGAAGAGTAATTTCAGCTGGAAAAAGCCTATTACCATGAAAGGTTGCGATGAATGTGACACAGTTAAAGACCTTAATAGTTTGTTAGCAATTAAAGTAAGAATTCATCAGGAGATTAAAATAACAAGTCTGTTATAACAATCCAGCACATCAACTCGAGCCAATAATATTAGAGGTGGGCATTACGAAGTTATGGCCCGGGCTAGTGCTTACGTTCGTGATACATCCGATGGAGTGTTCAACTGAAAATTATCCATGTCTCATAAGTCTGTAGTTCGGTGTTCGAATGTTTTTTTTTTGGGTCCAGATCGCAGATTTATGGGCCAATGTCAAGTAGTGGTTGAGGAATATTTTTCCAACCCTAATAGCTCGTTCAAAATACTCTTGAACTCCTTCAAGACACCTACGGCGAGGTGCAAAGCCTGGCAGTCAACGCGTATGTTTGGTTGTTTGTTGCCACCTTTTCACTTTAGTGTTTCAGCCTCATTCCCGGTAGTGGTGGAATCGCAGAGCATCTCAATTGTGGATAGAGCGATTGCTGGAATGTATCGTTCTGGCAACGAGCGTTGTAACAGTGTGTCGGTTTTGATTTAGTTTGTCGCATTCGAATGCACTCTCTTGTGTATCATTAGAATCACTGGTCAATGCAACTCCCCCAGACAACGTCAAACTCCTATCCGTTCTTGCCACCCACTCGATTCCTTCTCTGGTTGAAGCGATCTGTGACGATGGCTGTTTCATTTAGGTTGAATGCTGTAGAATCCTCGTACATATGGTTCCACGGCAAGCTTTTTTCTTAACGATTTTATCCCGATTTGTTTTAGCTAGCTATTGTGCTTTTGATCTTCCAGGTTCGGTGAACATCTTGTACCTTCCTACCCCAACATTCCAAAGTGCATGCTGCGAGCCTTGAATAGTTCGCAACTGGCTCTGCACAAACGAACTGCTCAAATGGTCACAAACTTCATTTCCTTTGAAGACACTTACACCGCTCTACTTGACTTTGTGTCAGACCCATTTGAGAAGGTGATGTGTCAAACAGATGTTGGAGTACGATTGGATGTGTCAAGACCCCCAGAGCAACAGGAGGCACTGACTACATCGTACTGTAAAGTTGCACTTCAGTGTCTCGTTGTGTTGGCGTAAGTTATTTTACTTAAGTAAGTAAGTACTTAAGTAAACCACAAAAGTTTTGTATCAACCATCATTGTCAGGAACAGTTTTTAAGCATCACTATGGTTCTTGGAATCGTGTTTGAGGTGTTCTGTGAACGCTGCACTGTCAAAGCTGACATTGTCATGGACGTCTTTAGTGGTGCTGGGCACTGTCAAGCTCTCACTGTCATAGTAAGACTAGGTCAGCCCCACTTTGTTACCCTTTTGGAATGCTTGAGGCACTGCAGAGGTTGTATTGTTTTTTTTGCGGTCTTCTGAGAACTAGGGCCTGTTTGAACAGTAGAGCAAAATGAGAAATGCTTCCATGTCACGTAGGTGGCCAGTTTTGGTTCGATGAGGGCTTGATCATTGAGTTTTTTGGAAGACTTTCTGCTTGCTTTGTTTAGTGTGTTGAACGCTGTTGGTCGGAATGGATGTTGACTTAATTGCACATATGCCTGATTTTCCTTTTTCGTCTATTAATACATATTTCTTTTAGAATTTCCTGGTAATTTGATTTTACAGTGTATGGTTCACACAAAACTTGAGGAGATTTTCCTTGCCTTGGTTTTGGTGGAATTCTCTCTGATCAGTAGTGGTGATTTGGATCGAGGTCCTTGTTATTTTGTTGCTGCGATTGAGGATTATGCACTTTTAACTTTTTTCGATTTAACCGTTTTTCTCCCTTTTTGAGTACGTTTTGGCATTCATAGAAAATCTTTGTCACTTCTTTTATGGGTAGTCACACACGTGAGGATCCAATTCCCTGATTTTTGGAAGTCTGGATTCGTTGGACCCCACCAACTATGTCTTCGGTCAAGTCCTCCTCCCTCCCAGTTGTGACGTCGAACAAACAAACAGCTTTTCAGCGCCACAGCCAGGCCGACGCTTTCGAAATCTTTCATGAAACTCATGACATTGCGGAAATGAATTTGTCACCCCTTATCCTCTCAAGTCTTGGGATTAACCTACGAGGGCTCCTCTTTGCACACACGGTTGCCATTTCTCGGCGGTTACTCCAGAGGCGGGTTTTTCTCATTATTCTGCTGGTGTGAAGACTTTGTGGGAGTGTGCTGCTTTTTGAAGGAGGGCATTGTAGCGGTCCCTTAAACTTGGAGGTGTTCTTCAGTTGTCATGTCATCGGCTTCGCCAGTTGCATCTGTCAAGATTGCGTAGTGGCAGCACAGTCACCAGATGATCAGTATTTTTGGAAGTGCCTACACTAGTTGTCTTCTCGCGACGATGCTCCACACGGAATCGGCTTCCCATGGTGTTCAAGTCAGGTGAACCGTTGGTTGTAATGTGATTGTGGAGTCGTGCGACTAGGCAGTCCTTCTAGTCCTTACGCTAGCGTCCATTGCTCGATGAAGGACCTGTCAATTGCCTGTAATGTCTGGATGTAGAAGAGTCTGCACCGCAGGCTGGGCGTCATGAGAGAGGCCTGACCTGTTCCTTGATGCTGACGACGTGAAATGGCAATGGAATTGCCGATGGTTGTTGTGCTCAAAGCTGGTGCGCCCTTCAACTCATCCATCCTCCGGGTAGCATTTACCAAACCGTAACTCGATGTGGAACTGATTTTGGCAAAGGAAGCCGTGGTTTTAGTTTCTACGATCACAGGAAAGCTGAAAGGAGGACGGGGCGAGTAGTATATGCACATGACTGAAAATGGAAATGCGTTATGATGCCGAAGCGGGGAGTTTGTAATGCGACGGTTTGTAGGAGCCGTGATTTTGCTCGGCTTTGGAACACCTGATGAGGAGCTCATTCTCGTGCTCGGCACCTGTTGGCGGTGCAGACAAGCCGTACCACCTTCAGTAAAATGGAGGTCATGCAACTGCCACGCCAAAGCCACTTGTTGGTCACAGCTGCGAGTTGTGCTGTTGAGCTCTGTGCGAGGAGAATGTAGATGTGGGGAGGAGCCAATTTCGCCTCTCCAATGAGTGCCTCCCTCGGAGAAATCGGCTTCAGGTTTGTCCCTCTGCAGTGTCTGTGTGTGTGTGTGTGTGGCTGCCAAGTGGAATGTCAACTGCACAGATGAGGGAGACGAGTGGCGTTGTGTGGAACACTGGCAGTTGCGTGGTGAACGTGTGCGCGTGTTGCGAGGGCACAACCTGCTCCTTCTGGGGAGGCGTGCACTGCATGCGGTGGCGAAGGTCTCTCCTGCAGTCGTAGTGTGTGAATGGGTTGAGGAGTCAAAGAATGGCTGCATTGGTGTGCTGGTTGTGGAATGATGCGAACGTTGCAGAGAATGAGCAAGGCGCACAAGATGCAACTGTCCTTTGGAACTCAGATGGCGGATGTGAGTGTGATGTGGCACTGTGGCGATGAGGTGGCAATGCAGCTTGTCAGAATGTCATTTCGAAAAGCCGTGTCGGCTACATTGTGATTGTTCCGCAAGTTGGCTTTCGGAAAGTGTTCACTTTGTTTCGATGGTCGGTCTACGCATTGACAATTGACCTTCCCCTTGGTTCCACGTGCGACAGCTGCAATTGGTTGGTTGGTTGGTGGGGTTCCTTATTCTAACCAGATTGATGCGTTGTTGTGTTGTACCAATTCAGTGTGGAGGGCGCAATGGAGCTGACGTGGAGGCGAAGGAAGCGGAGGCAGGTGTGAGAAGAAAATGACGTGGAAGCGATGCACACTCAAGCGTAGGAGCGCCTTGAACGAAAAGGAGGAAATGGGAGAGGAATCATATGTGATAATGGCAGGTGAGGAGTGTATGTAGTGAAATTTGTGTAGCGCATAAGGAGTGGCTTGTATTTGGCTGCTTAGAGGAGTGGTGTGAGGCGGTGTGGGGGTGTGTGTTTCGGTTGATGGCGTGCAGCCTTCACCTGACTGGAATTGCTTGCAGATTGAGTCATCCACAACACCTGTCCTCCTTGTATCGGGTTATGGCTTGCTGGTCGAGTGAAGGAGGCAGAATTGTTGGTCAGCCGGTGATGCAGTGCCGTAAGCATTCTCTGAAGAAGTGTTGAACCGTGTCAGGAGGGGGAATGCTCTACTCCAGTGTCAGGGGATAACTGGAAGCCGAAAGAGGACTGTTGGGAGGGCCGTGCTACTGGGGAAGGGAAGTGTGGCAGGACATGCGACTCACGTAAACCGAGTTGTCGAGAGGATGCTGAGGTGGAACAGTGTGTTGGGTCAGTGTGGTGGAGTATTTGTAACTGAGGCTCCTTAATCGAGCATCCTTATTCGCTTTTACCCCAACAGTCGAGCCTGGCACCGAAGCACCATCTGCCTGTCTACTTAAACACGTAGTAGTAGTATAGTCGTTGGGGTATTCCTCCCCTCTGCATCCCTCACTAGTTGCTTGGCTCATGAATAGTTTGCCGGCTGTGGCCTCTGCATTCCCCTTTTTGATGAACTACTTGCTCACATCAAGAATTCAGTTTCATTGTATGAAAGGCAGTGAAGGGCTCTACTGACTAGCCTCGTAAGTAGCATGAGTGGTAGAAGAAGTGTCAGCACAACAATTCGATAGGAGTCGCAGGTGGCGTCAACGCGCTGGTCATTGCGGGTGTGTGCAGAATCGTGGTCGGTCGAATCAAAACTCAGATTTGAGTGGGAGACAAGGCTGTGCTACTTAATTCGCTGATGAGTAGCGCGTGAGCAGCAAAGCTGAAGAAGTGTGAAGCCCCCTTGGAAGGTAGGTCTACTACCACTCATCGCCCCTCGCATTTGCCATTTTGGGTTCGTGTTTAGCTGACCGCCCGATTCCCCTAGTCAAATAATCACCTTGTCGACAGGAAGAGATTTGCCAAGCTGCACGAGGTGAATGAATTTAGCTGTACGAGGTGAGAGTGCTTGCACAATCTGCCGAAGGCGATGGTGCCGATGGCACGAGTCATTCTCACACAGTAAAGTCGCACCTGTGATGCTGGCAGTGATAATGTGGTCTATTTTTAGAGGCAGTGGCGTCTTCTGATGCGACTCACACACAAGTGTCTCCTCCAGGAGCTGCGTTTGTGTGACAAGTGACATCGCTGCGCCTCTCCCCTCTTGCCAACAACGCCGCCACATGGCATGTCACTGCAGCTGAAAGTACGGATTCATGTGAGTGTCGCCATTCAACAGACGTGACCAAACTCACTCAAAGTCAAAACTGGAGGAATCGATTTGGCTGGAGGTTGGATGCCTACACCACAACTACTCAACTGACTGTGTCTCACCCACCCACTAATGGTGATACTTCATTAAGGAGTCTGCACCGTGGAATAGGCGATGCGATGTCCCCCATTGGAGTTGACTCTACGGAGTGAGTGACTGAGGTAGTTTTGTGGACGCAGTCCCCTCCCAACGCGTTGCGTTGCATGAAGCCCCTGAAGGCGAGGCAAACACCAAATCCTGTGCACTGCCCTACTCTCAATTTATCAACAACGGAATTGATGGTGGTCTATGGGGAAGAAGTGGGCAGTCGTCAGTGAAGATGTGGGGAGGGGGAGGGGGAAGGTGGGATGCGGTGAAGGCGGTGACGGTCCTGTTAACAGTTGCTTCAAATGTCCACTGCATCCACAATGGACAGAAAGGCGTAGGTGATCGGCAAGGTACTGACACGGTTCTGAAAGGTGGACAAGAGGATGCTCATCAGTTTCGCCACGGCTGCTGTTGTTAAGACCAGTACAGAGGAGGAGTTTGTAACTCACTTGTACAAGAAGTGCAGTAAATGAAACACACAGTAAGTACTTCGAATATCCTTCACTGCATGCAACAAGTTTGTCCCTGCATCCTGTTCCAGGTGTACAATAACATTCGTAAGGCGGCCGCATTCCCATGTTGACTGAAAGGGAAATGAAGATATTAACACTTACCCAATTTGAAGAAGGAGACGGTCAAAATTGTGCCTAAACTTACCAAAATCCGCTCTACCGTTCATGCCGCAGCATCTTTCGAAGTGCATTTCACTGCATCTAATATCTTGCTGTCATAAAGAATAAGAGAAAGGTAAGGAGACATGAAACGGTGCACGAATTAAAGTATTTGGCGGCCACCCCACCTCCATGATTGCGTTCCAGATAGTCGTTGCCATTGAATTATCCCCAACACTGTATTTGTATTCGCCAAGAAGCTGCTCCATTGTACCGAGAAATAGAGTATCAAGCTTGTCGGGATTGGCAAAGTACACTGACAAAGCGATGGCTTCCACGAAGAGCAGGACAAGCAGACCAGTGGCATACTGGCAAAAGAAAGGAGGAGGAGG